GAATAGGAAGACAATTTTGTTTTTTCAAGTTTTTTTTTTTTTTCGTTGACTTAGTCATTTCCATGCTCACCAAATTTTCAGTTTTCGAGCACCAGAAAATGAGAAAATGACTTTTGGAAGCTCATTTTTGCCCAAAAAAAAAAAAAAAAGATCTTATTTTGGTAAGGAACAATAGGGGATTCTGTTTCTTCTGGCTTTTCTTATATCTTTACTCAACCACAAGCAAATACTTTATCAATTTTTGCAGTAGATGTTAATGATTTTTGTCATGTTTATCTTGCATGCATGGAGAAATTTGGTTCCACGGGATATTTTTTTTAAATTATCTTAGGAGACTTCTTTGTTAAGCCAAATTGGTCCTCAGGACCTGCATAAAGAAAGAAATCATGGCTTCAGTCCAAATGCTTGATCTAAAACATTTTTGTCCCCTTTATTAAAACCCTTCTCTGCTTTGACTTCTGGCAGGTTAAAGATCTCCAAGAAATGCCGTCTCTGCTTCAGGCCTTAAGGTTAATCTTTTCGTTTCCTCTGTCTGTCTTTCTCTCTCTCTCTCACACACACAATTGATTTCTCCTGTTATGTTCCAAATGCGTCCTTTTGGTCTCAATGGTGACTTATATGGTTTCAGGAAGTAGGTGAATCAGGTAGCCATGATGCTGCCAGTGGGAATTGCACTTCAGAAGACAAAACTAATGGGTCTTCAAGTTCCGGTTTCTTCGGGATGATGTTTTCAGGTGGGAATGGTTCTTTTCTCACACGAACACGCAGTGCCACGAACGCTGTGCCACAACAGATGCGATCAAGTAGACAACTATCATGACAATCTTAGGTTTAAAAAAATTTAAAATTTTATGTTTGGGAGACTGATTTCCCAGGTCTCATGGGTGTCTTTGGACTCAAAGTTCCTCCAATATGGGTAATAGTGCTCAATCCAAACGTTAAATCGGAGTGGGTGCTGAATTTTGTAGAGATGATGTTGTGTGTGATCAAGGGGTAATATCATTTTGGATAGAAGTTCTTTCTTGTTCATCTCTTTTATAGATATGTAGGTTCCGGAAGGGGAAGAGGAAAAGGGTTAATACATTATGTAAGCTAAAGAGATATCTGTTCATCTGATTTCTCCTGACTCCCCATGAATAAAAGAAAATTCTTCTATTATTAAAATGCTTTATAATTGGATTACTTTTGAATCCAATGTTCGTATGTGAGAGAGTTTATTGTTTAGTTAATTTAATTAATTTTGAATTGAATTATTTAAAAATTAAAATTAGTTAAATTAAATTAAATTTATATTTTATTATTTGAATTAAATTTGTTAATTTTAAAAATCCAATTATTGAATTTGGTTTGAGGGTTTCTGTTTTGAGGTTTCATATTTTATTTTTATTAATTCAATTAAATTATTAATTTGAAAAAATTTAATCTAACTGAATTTATTATTTAAAAATGAAAGTGAGTTATCAATTAATAAGGGGTAATAATGAATTGGATTTTATTGATTTTTTTTAATTAATATATAAAATTATGAATTTTTTAAAATTTAATTGAATTTGAATGAGATTTATATAATTCAATTTAAATTAAATTTTATTGATTCAATTTGTTCATTAATTTTTAAATAAATTTAAATAAAAATTAATAAAAATATATAATTTAATTCAATTTTTTAATTTTTAGTTTTTCAATTTTTTTCCTCATCCTACCCGTGAGTCTCGGTGTGTTATTCCGCCAATTTCCCCTTTGCTCTTAATCTTTTGGCGCTCTTTTTCCCTCTGCACTACGGTAACTTAAAAAAAAAAAAAAAGCGAAAAATGCCGCTTGTAAGCTCAAACTTTGCAATCGGAATTGCACAAAGGGAAAAAATAAAGGGAAAGAAGCCAAAAAGGAAAATGGAAGTAGTTCGATCTCATAGGAATCCAGTTATAAACGACGTCGTCGTTTCAACTCTTCCTCTCTACCGATCTCTTCCTCCCCTCGAAGTCCGACTCGAAGATTTCGAGCTCTTCGCCATGGATCGTCTCCGAGGTACCGTACTTTTCTCTGCTACTATTTCAAAAGCTTTAATTGGTCAAGAAAAACAAACCTCGTACGAACAAAGCGGCTATTGTTAATAATTTTTTTGACTCGCTGATTTGGTGCCGACGAAGCGATGCTAAAGAAGAGGAATAGAAAGTAAGAGAATTAAGTTTTATGATGGTTTTGTACCGTTCAATTTCTCAGGAGTAAGAACTTTATAGATAGGATTTTCAGCAAACGTTTAATTATTTCTATTTGGAGCTTCACCAAATATAGTTAAATCACAAAATTAATAGTTAAGCTCTATGGATTTCTCATTTTTATGTTTTTGTAGTATCTGATTCTTTTAATTGCTAGATGCACGGTTCTAAAAGGGATCTCTGATGGATTATCCCATGGAAAGAAACCCCAAGAAATGGAAGATTGATAAAGTTTGAGTTTGTGTTTACATTTCTTTTTTTTTTTTAACAAATTTTATTGTTTTCGCTCTCCAGTTCACATCCTGTATTTGCTCAGGCAATGGATCTTTGGAAAGTAAATAGGAGTCATCTGCAGGCAACAGATGATGTAAACAGAATATCATTTCACACTTTGTTATTCGTCTTGTGTATTGTATAACGTAAGTTCATGATATTCTGGTTCTGAAATTATTTGTCTTGTCTTTTTATATTGATTAGTAACAATGATTATCATTTTTATTCTTTTTATTGCTCTGGTTAGCGAGGAGCTTAGAAAATGGTTTCTGTTCATGGAGACTTCCCTCTTTCGTTACCCTTTTTACTTTGAAAGCTCTGAGGCATAGGTAGCAGATTGCTTGTTATGCTGATGTTGTAGAGGGCGTTGATGTCTGAGTTTAAGCTTCCATACGGGGCAGTCAGCAATGCAGAATTTGAGGTAACGGGGCTCCACAATTTTCTAATTCTTTGAAGCTATTTGTTTTCAGGAAGATGCAATTGCATGAACCTTACTATGATAGTGTATACGGTGCCTTTTAAATTTCTCTTAATGAATTTCTTATTTGTCATTTAATATATAGACTTTGTGGATTTAATAGTTAGTATAACCTAAGAAATCATCATTAATTTTTTTTTAATATGTGATTGGCCACCCAAATGAATGTAGTTTCTAACTAGATTCTTAAGTTTAATTAAAGATTTTTAAAAAATAAGTTTGATTCTACTACATTAGGATAAGATTTGAGAGTTCAGTTATTATGAGAGATGTTATTAAATCCTCACCATGCATATCCCAAATGAAGGTATCATTTTTATTTTAAATTAGCGTAAGGTTTGATTTGATATGAGTCTTTTATTAACATTTTGGAATATTGAAAATAGTTTTTAAAATTTTTTATTAGTTTAGAAGAATTTTTAAAAATATTTTTTCACTATGAGAGTATTTAAGAATCTCATTTGTTTTTTTGAAGAAGTTCCATCGTCATAAAATTTAATCAATTTTATTTTTTTATCAAAAATTCATTTAATTCTTCTATCATTTGGGCTTAAATTAAAATTATTTGTTCATCTAAAAATATTTTAAATAATCATCCATTTGTGATTGAATTTCATTTTTAGAATTTATTTTTCTTTTTACAAATTTTTGGATTTTTAAGTCAAGTCCACTTCTTAACCTAATACATTGTTTTCAATTAGAACACTAGACTTCAAATTGAATCGAACTCTTTCTTTTTTATTTCTTTTTTTTTTAATCATAAATCTTTTAATTACAAAATAAATGATCTTAAACTAAACAAAATACTAAAATTTTAAAATTAAATTAAAAAATGTCAAACTAAATGGGGTATCCATAGTTGTCTTTTTTTGTATATTTTTTGTGAAACAAGAATTGTGCAAAGATATAGACATCCATTATGTTTCGGTAATCGACTCGATATTTTTTTTTGAAAAGATTTTTTTAAATGAAAACTCAGGTTTTTTGAACAATATAAAGGTTATTCTAAACAAAGGCTTAATAATTTTTAAAAATATAAAAAGATCTTCTCAACAGAGGCTTAACAACTTTTGAAAATATTAAAGGTTCATTTTAATAAAACTTAACAACTTTTGAAAAATATAAAAGATTCATCTCAACAAAAGATCAAAAATTTTGAAAAATATAAAAAATTTTTTTAACAGAGGTTCAACCATTTTGAAAAATATAAAAATATTTTTACTTTTGCTTAACAAATTCAATATAAAGACTTATGAATCTTATCCAAAGGACTTGAGATTATGCCAGAAGGTTTTATAAATCACAACACAAAAAAAGATTAGCTAGAAGATTTACGAATCTTGCCTGGAAGAATTAAGAGACTATGCCCATAGGTCTTACAAATCTCAACACTTAAATGCTATTTTAAACAGAGGTTCCACAACTTTAGAAATATAAAAGAGTTTATTATCTGAAGGAGATTAGAGGTTCATTCATCGAAAAGTTTTCAAGATTTGCATAATTTTTTGAGATTCACATTAAGAATTCAAATATTCACATTTGAAACTTTTAGAAATTCATATCCAAGACTCAAAGATTCTCGTTTGAAAAGTTTCAATTTAAAATTCAATGTCTCAAGGATTTGCAAATAAGATTCTCATCTTGTGATAAAAAACTCTTTTAAACAGAGATTATAAAACTTTAAAATTAAAAAAGTTTTTTAACCAAGATTTACTAACTTTTTTTGAAATCATTCTCTTCATCTAAAGGTTTCAAATTTCATCTTCACAATATTTTCTTCATACGAGGATCAAAATCTTATCAAAAGGTTTTATTTGTTAAAATTTTAGTTTTTTTGAAATTGTGTTCGGAAATGTTACAAATCATGCCTAGAAGCCTTACAAGTTATGTCCAGAGATCTTGAAAATTATGTTTAGAGGTTTTAAAAATTATGTTTGAAAGTCTTACAAATCATGGTTGGAGGTCTTACAAATAATTTCTTATCTTTGGAAAGCTTTTTTTTAACAAAGGTTTTGAAACTTAAAAAAAAATCATTTCTTTTGAAATAAAAACATCTTATATTGGAATAGGTTTCACCTTTTAATTAAGGCTAAACACTTTTACAAATTCATTTTGAAAGTTTTTTTTTGCTCAAAACTTATCATTTTTGTTATGAAAACTTTTCCTCAATCGAAATTAAAATCTCATACTCAACAATTCTCTTCAATCGAGGGCCAAAATCTCGTATTTCCAAATTTTCATCCTTTTAAAATCAAAATCCAAAGTCAATTGAATAGTATTGAATAATAGAGATGAAATGCATGCATGTAATGCAAAAATCAATATATTATGAATCTTTAATTGTGGTAAATAGGTCTCAAGTCCTTTTTATTTTTTGTCATTGACTTAGAACTAGCTAGCTAGCTAGTTTTCAACAATAATCCTCCATCCCATTTTTTTTTTACTGAAAGCATTTCATTTTTCAACCATTTATTTTATCCATGATTTTCTTCAAAACTTTTTACCTTGACCATTCTCTTTGTTCCAAAAGTCGTTCTTACCATAATGATCTAAAATCACATATCTTTATCCATACCAATTTATGTCAATTCAAATATAAATGTCTTTCACAACAAATGCCCTAATATGTTCATGACAACAACAAAAAATGGCCCATATAACTATTCTATGATCCAAAAAATGCATTTTTTTAAAGTATATGATTGAATCTCTTAGAAATTGGTGATTATTGCATAGAATAATGAAAAAGAATCTCAATTTAGTTTATTTAAGGGAATGAAACGGTTCGATACATTAAGGTCTTAAGAGTGATTTTGTCACTAAACAAGAAAAAGCAAATCAATATATCTTATTTGGGCTCACCAATGAAAAATTATTTTTTGAAGCACAATTCATTTTGTACTCTTGATATGATAATTTAATAAATGTCAAAATTAGCTATGATAGGCTCAAAAGTTTTAAGAAGAAAAAGAGGTTCCAAATTTCAAAACAATTTTGGATAAGGGTCATCTTTTTGAATTTTTTAAAGATTTTAATTTGGTT